CAGGAAGATATCTATAAATGAACTCCTTTAAAAAATATCCCATTGAAAATACCTTCTGACACTTAAAAACTAGGGATGCAAAGAATAATTAATATTTGTGTGATTGCTCTAGCTGCATTTCTGTAACCTGTGATTTCTTAGCTACCTTAAATGGATGTTTTTGTAGGATCATCTCATTGGTTTTCATTTGTCTGGACATTTTTTTCTACTGAGCAACGACTAGATGCCAGACACTGTGATAGAAACAGCAGGTATGAAGATTATTTCTGGTCTCAATGACAGATGACTTTGGAGACAAGACAATAAATACATGAAACGGAATCTACCAATTTAAGAAATATATGCTAAATGCCAAATGAGAGTTACAACCACTGGAAAAAGTGTTGAGTTGCAGTCATTGTGAAACAACACACTCTAGACATAACTTTTGACATAAACATCATCAAAGTTACAGTTTTGGGGAACAAGCTCAAAGGATATCGTCTTAGTAAATTTAATGGGAGACCACAGACTGGGAAATGTTTAGATAGTGCAGCTTCTTGGCGCTTCTCAATTTCCTTATGAGGTTTGTGGTATGTGTTCTCTTGAGGATAGGATCCTGACAGGTCCCTGGAGGCCCCAAGTGGAGGCTAATAATCGTCTTATATCTATAACCACACCACCTTGAAATTATTTTCTTTCCTTTTATGGTTTCAGACTGCCCTTAGCAAGCCATGTATCTGGATCTAGCACTGGGGGGTCTGGGTACAATTTCTTAGTAGGTCAGAAGGCCATCTAACCACATTGTGCACAGGTTATGGAACAATAAATTGCATTACATATGAGCAATTAGTTGCAACGACATAACCACAACGAGCCTGCAGGCATGGGCTATCTGTTACCTCCAGTGTCTAGGAGAGTCCAAGCACATGATCAGTGCTTGAGGAGTATGGAGGAAAGGATTGTTGCCATAAGAACAGGGGCTTTGGGCTGGACCTTGAAATAAAGGTGAATGTTGATAAGTGAGCACCAAGGCAGCAGGCATCCCGTCTGTCCTGTTCTCCAACTTACACCTAATGCCTCATTCCCTGCCAAACAGTAAGCACGGCTCTGAAATCTATCGTCAATCTTGATCTAATTGCCTCTCACTCAGCTGCAGTGTCTTAAAGCGTGCTGTTGAGTTAAACTGGTGATATCTTAAACAAGCCAGAACACGACAGAAAGCCCCACAGATTTACACCCTGTTTCTGTTTGGATCTTAACACAAGTGAGTAACTCTTCAAAGCAAAGACAGCAAGATTGTGTCAAGGTATAGAACAGTTTCTGGTAGAGAATCCAAAATGCTAAATGTTAGCTGAAAGTTCAAAAGTTGTGAAAATTTGAGCAATGACATCCATTCGTGGGACTGAGAAAATTTTGGTCTCTTTGAGATTCTCTCAAGCTTTTATTAACTTATAAACTTTCAGTTCCAAGACCCCGGCCTCACTTCCTTTATAATACACCCAACATGATGCCACACAACCGTAGGCATAAAAAATTTTTAATTGTGAAAAATACCTGGACATCATGGGGCAAAATTATCAACAGATATTGTAAAAATCTCAATTCGTCGATATTCATTAAATCGTTTCGTACGTCTATTCTGTGAAAGCTGAAGTCTATTCTGAGTTCTGAATTTCTGACACATAGTAAAATTGGACGTGAATTTCAAGTGAATGTGTTATTTTTATTAAAATCCTCAAATTGTCCCCTGATTTGAGGATTTATTGGCAGGGATGAAGTTAAATTTAAAACAACAGTATTGGGGTGGAATGAAGGGGAATTCTTTTAGGTTGTCACTTCCTTTGGCATCCCATGGATCCAGTACCCATCCCAGACATTTTTTCACTTTTAGTAGGCTAAGGCATATTTGAGCATCTATGATTTCTGGTTTGGATACAATTTCTAGTAAATATCTTTATTTTTCCTTCAATCACTATTTAAATGTAATGGAGAAGATAAATGCAGAAATTTCATGTTGAAAAAAACTATGGAAGTTACAAGATGAAAACTTTCCCTCTGGTTTCAGACCATTCTAAATACTCGAAGGATGTTTATATATGCCTGTCACTTGTTTTTTCCTGGAAGTATGATTAAATGTAATTAAAATACCAAAACCAAGAATATAGGTCCCACCAGAAAGGATGGTTACTCTGTGAATCTGAGATGAACTTTGGATCTTTTTTTCTCCTTCCAACAATACAGTGGTAGCTAATTTCCCACAACCCTTGTACTCAGTATCACTCCCATGAGAAACACCACCACCCATTTCTGCCCTCACCCTCTAAACACACAACACACACACACACACATCCACACAGGGAAGAAACCAGGCCTCTGTACATACAACTTTTATTTGTAAATCCACATTTCTTAGCTTAGAGATGCTTATATTTTGTAGAAGGTTTTTTTTTTCCTACCATACAATATTTAGACTGGCCCAAAAAACAAGGGAAATGTCCTTGGACTGCAGCCATGGCAACATTTTACCTAACACTTGTGAAAGCTCCCACACCAAATTCCTGAGAGAGGCTTGAGCATGAAGTGTAACCGCCACATTTAGTTTCAAAGTTCAAACAACAGTTTCTTTGGTAGATAAGCATGTGTCTACAGAGCAGGGTGGGACAGTGACGCAGCTAACGATGGACAAAAGTCAGAAGGGGTAACGGCCTCACCTGAAGGAGCAGATGGTCAGCGCCATCCCCGTCTGTCCTATCTCCTCAGACAGAACAGGCCAGCTGGCCTCAGGGTCCTCCACATCTGCTTATCCTGCTGCAACTTGAGCAGGCACCTTCTTCCCCCAAAGGTTTGCCCTCTTTTCTCTGATTCTTAGAACTATTTCTAAGTTCCACCTGGTTCGTCGCTCTCCATGAATGAACTGACTGGCCATGAAATTCTGTGTGGAAGTTACTTACCTCAATTAAGAAATACTGATTGGAGGCATGGAAGTGAAATTAGGGATAAATAAAGCTTTTGCTGTGCATTTGGAAAACAAAGAATAGCCTTTATTGAAAAAAGTAGGATAAAGGTGTTTCCATAGATGGTCGTGAATTTACCATTCAAATCGGGGAAGTGGAGAGCAGCCCCATGTTTTAAGTCAATGAAATAGTGAAAGGAGGGGTTCTTTTGAGACAAAAACAGAAAAAAAAGAATACCGTATCAGAGCAACTGAAAAACAAAGCTAAGTAGGAACAGATGTGGATGTCTTTTCCTTTAAAGTCAGCACAGAATTTTTCAATGTGAGGTTTCCTTTAAGAACAGGAGATTCTTTTAACAAAGCAAAAAACTGAAACAGTTATATAAGTTGGTCACAATGACACTTGTAGAAAATATCAGAAGTAGTTGTTAATGGGAAAATGCCAAAAATGTCTCCATCCAAGGGAGGCCAGAATGCCCTTGCCTCAGCTGTTCACCTGAAGAGCTCCCGTGCACCCTTCAAGTCCCAGCCCAAACATCACCACCTCCGGGAAGCCAGTGCTGACACTGCCTAGCAGCACCCAGTGCCTCTTTGTGCTCCCTGCACCCCACCCATGGCTCCACTGTAACATGTGCCACCCTTTAGGGATCATTTATACTTCTGCTGCCTCCCCTCTCTTTCCAGGACAGTAGGGACTGTAACTTGTTTTTCTTTGTATTCCCAGTGTCTGGCAAAGGGGAGAGGCATCCATCCATTTAATTAAGATCTGCTAAGATGCTTTATGTAGAAGCAATCATGTGTCTGCATGTGTTTTGAAGAATATATAAAAATCAATGAGACTCTTCTACAAAGAAGTAGATATCCTTCTGCTAAGTGCAGATAAAAAGCTTGAATACTATATCTAAAACAACCATAGGAAGATTCTGACAGGTGGGGAGGAGAAGGTAGACAGGCTAGAGACCTCAGAACCCCAAGAGCAACACTGTGATGAGCTCCCCCAAGTTTGCTTTTCAGCTCATATATCCCAGATCTGGAGCTGAAGAAGTCAGCAACTGGGAAACGCCCACGAGTGCAGATGGAAAGAAGCCCTGAGAGCCCTGCTCTCTCTCTAGCCAAAGGACCAGAGAGGAGGAGCCTAGCAAGAGAGAAAACAAGAACCGCTCGACTCCAGCCAAACACCACAGAAAAGATCATGACCCCACCCATGCCAGCAAAGACGGAGTGGGGAGCCTAGACTTCCACCTTCACCAGGCTGTGAAGAGGTGCCCCAAGTGTGGTAGTGTCAGAGAAGGATGGTGGTGGTGTCGGAGAAGGATGGTCGGGGAGGTGCCCCAAGTGTGGTGGTGTCAGAGAAGGCTGAGTAGGGAAATGGCAATTTCTTCCCCACCTGTTGAGAATAAAACTTACCCAGCCACTCTTGTCCACAGTTTCCATGGAGAGCACGTGGGAGCAGTAACAAGGTGCCAAGCACATCCCAATCAGGGAGGCATCAATGGACACCCGCTGGGGAGATGAATTTCTACCCTGCCCTGGAACAAGGGTCCCCTTCACCCCAAGTGTCAGTGGAGTCTGAGTAGGGAACCTGGACTCTAGCACATCTGGCAACAATAAGGCAGTGCCCCCATGCTAGAGTGATGTCAGAGAAAGGTAGCTAAAACAGGTTTAAATAAGATCCATAGTCATACAACATAGTACCTAGAATATCCAAGGTTCAACTGAAAATCATTCATCACACCAAGGACCAGGAAAATCTTTTTGAATGAAAAAAGACAATAGGTGGTAACACAAAAATGACACAGATATTGGAATTATATGACAAGGATTGTACAGCAGCCATCATAAAAATGCTTCAATGAGCAATTACAAACATATTTGAAACAAAAAAAGTAAGAAAGTCTCAGCAAAGAGAAAAATTCTCAGCAAAGAAATAAAAGATATAAAGAAGAACCAAATGGAAATTTTAGAAATAAAAAATACAATAACTGAAATGTAAAAAACCAATGGATGGGCTCAACAGCAGAATGCATTAGACAGAGGAAGGAATCAGTGAACCTGAAGATAGAACAATAGAAATTACCCAATCTGGACCACAGAGAGAAAACAGACCAGAAAAAAAGCAATGTACAGAACCTCAGAAACCTGTGAGATTAAAACAAAAACCAATGAAACTTTCTAAATTATTAAATAATTTTCAGATGCAAATTGTAATATCTATAGGTCTTGTGATCCCAAGGCTGTTGAAGAATGAGTATCACATAAAGGACAAATACAAATCTTTGGTGTACTAATATAACCCCTAAATCAGACCCCAGCAACCTAATAGGGACTATAGTATTTGAGGGTTCACAGGTTGGGACTAAAGCATATAGTCCATACAGAGGAGAAATCAAGTTCTTTTATCATAACCACCAAGAAGATATGAAGTGATGACAACATGTTCTCTTCAAATCTACGAAACTTCAAATGAACAGCTCAGCACAGCACAGCTCTGCTGCTGGTCGGGTTATTTTTGCACACGGAGGACAACACTCCTACCATCTCGATGAAAAATGACACTTTGCATATGTTGACAAGTTCTCTGAAGTTTCACCAAGATAAGACACATTTTTAACAGTCTAAAATAACCACCTGTAGAGCTATTTTCAACCTGTGTTAATTACCAGTGAACAGGAGGGGAATATTTTTCTTTTGTACAAATGTAGAATAAAATTTTATAACAGGTAGATATGACCAATTCACAGATCTTCCCTCAGAGTTTAACTTGTTAGAGCCAATAAATCTGGAAAAGCCCAATCACAATAAAAAAAATAACACAGGATTACATATTTTGGCTTTTGAGGGGGGTGTACAGAAAAGACAGAAATAGGACCTCAGAAATATTTTTGCTTCCATTAATTTTTTGGGATTAAAACTAAGAGAAATGAAACTCCAAGTTAAAAGGAATCCAGAATCGCTTTTAAACTCTTGTGAAGATACTAATGTAACATGAACTATTCCAATCCTGTCCATTAGTGTTTGCCAGCTCCATAAAAGTTTACTAATGATAAGAAGATTCAAATTATCTGGCATCCAGACAGTGTTCACAGCTACTTCTGCCCTGAAGAGAAGTAGGAGCAGTTTTTGGTATGGTCTGTCTCTCTTCCCCAAACTTGAACAACGCATACAGCTCTCACATATTCAAACATGTGTGAGCCTCCAAAGGGACACTCTCCTACTGCTGTGTTGAGGCCACAAGCTTCCCTGAGATGGTCGTATCACAGAGGATTCCCAGTCTAACTGGTTGGCAGTTTCCAAACAACGCAATAGTGTGAATAGAGGACTGTAGAAAATAGAAGGTTCTTTCAAAAAGATTTATCCTGTGTTTTTGGAATAAAAAAATCAGTCTTCTTGGTTAAAGATTGGCAAATGTGTTTTCAACTTTAAAATGTCTGAAACTGGCTCTTTTCTTTCTTGATAGAAGCTGAGTCCAGTGATCTGTTCAACATCTGTGATCCGAGCTCTGTGTAACCTCAACAACTCTTCAACCCATGAGGATTCCTGCTTCCCGTGCTAGGGGGTGGGACATAAAGAAGAAAAGTCACTGGAGAACAGTCAGTCCACTTCCCCTACAACCTCCTCATCTCCCCACTTCAATCATCCATGGCACTTTGGCTTGCAAATGGCAGACACCACAAGATTTGTTAGACATAATCTCTGCTCTTGAGTAGCTCACCATCTAATATCTACCATGCATATTTGTTTAATTAGATGTATCAAATCTGGGAAGAGGAAAGTATGCCTGGAACAGATGCTCATGTACTGCAAGAAACTGCAACAGGGTAGGGTTAAAAAATATTCAAAAACAGAAGCAACATGGAATGGTAGAAAGAACATGGGAATTAGCATCAAGAAACTTGTTCTGATTCTTGTTCGGAATCAAGTTCTGATTCTACCATCACCCTACTGAGGTACATATTCTAGGTACACTGTCATATAGAACTTGATAAAATGTTTGTATTTCAGATATTGGCACAACAGCTTTTGGAACGGTAGAGATGGAAAAGGAACTCAACACTTCACTCACGGCACTTAGAATTTCGGTCAATGAGATGTCAGCAGAAGCCGATTGCTGCTTTCTTTTTTGAGGGGAGGCCCCAGAGTGCAGACACATCTAGAGAAGTAGAAGCCATCTTTAGCCCGCATGGGCCACACTGCTAAGGATAGTGGCGCAGAAGGACAGGAAAGACAGTGGCTCCTGAATCCCTAAAGGTGCTGCTGCCCCACAGCACCAGCCCAGACTGGCTCCCTCTGGGCTCAGCTACACGAGGAAGCCCTCACTTGCTCAAGTCACTGCACCTGGGTCCTCTGTTAGTTGCTGCAGAACATGACACTAACTGATTCTTTTGTTGACAACTTAATCTCTCAAGGAAGAGAAAGTAATGAAGAAGTGAATACTAGGCATGTGTCCAACAGTGTCCACAATACCGGCCAGTTAGCAGTTAGATGCCCAACGTTAGGCATCCAAATAGTTAAAATGCTGCTATTCTGTACTCAATTCTGAAGAATAAGCAAAAAATAATGAGAAATGTGTTCTATGAGGACTGGCCAATTAAATGTTATGTTCACTGCTGGTCCTCGGCACCTGCAGTACCTGGCAATAAGTATGTATTAAAGGAATGAATAACTGGATCAAAGAAGGGATAAATGAATGAATGCGCAATCACAGTACTCTCTCCTGCCAAGCTCAGACTGGGCCTCAAGATCCTGTGACTCCAAGACTCCAGGAATCCACCAACCATCCACTGAGGCTGGTGGGAAGCCAAATATATTTGCCAGCTTAGGTCTAGACTTGCTTTGTGTAACTTCAATGGACGAAAAAAAAAACCAACTAGGAAATCTGGAAAGTACCCTGAAAGAAAAATATTTTGGCTCACCACAAGAAAAGCCTTAAAAATTGCTAAAATTTTAATGCAGTCTTGATGTTCAAAGGCTACAGTTCAGATTTTTAAAATTCTGAGCAAATAAGATAACATAAAACAATTATTTCCAAACACTGGAATGACAAAAGAATAAGAAAAGATAGAGACAAACATGCTTTTTATAATGAAGTGATATATAGAAAATTAACTTGAAATATTGCCTAACCACAACCTTAAGATTAATTTACAGGGCTGACACTTTTGGAATTATAAATCCAGTTTTGAAACCAGTGAATTCACACTTGAAATAAACCCAGAATTTAGTAGGTAAGCTACATGAAGGCACTCAGTTTTTACATTTTGATCTGATGTTTAGTGTTTTTAATAGACAAGGTGGTCTTCGAAGATACGTCATCTTAGAGGATCAAATATAAAACCATCCTGTAATTTCAAAGTACATATATATTCAAGTTATGGTTTCTCCCACAGTAACGTTAGATGTAAGACACACACAAATATACTTATATTCATATTTTCAATTTTTAAAGTAAAATAACAAAGGCTACTTACCACACAGCTCTCACTGTTGTCTGTCCTGTGAGGCAAAATGAAAGCTGACGCATCTAAATTTTCACACTGTGAGGGAGCCTGGTCTGGATCTTTACAACTTGTCAGCACAATGAAGAAGTGAGTTGGGATCAGAACCTCCTGATTACGGACGCGTCTGCTGTTCCTGTGAAATATGGCAATATTCACTTTAAGAACGAAATAGCTATCTTCCTTTTAATGAATATTTCAGGAAAGCATATTTTTAATACATCTAAAAGTAAAACTCAGTCAAATAATTAAATGTATTGTCATTAGGAATCATAATACCTCAACATACTCTGCCAGATTGAGAGAGAGTAAGAATTAGAAGACAGATAAACATAATCCAAATAATTTTTATTTTCTATAGAAATGTACTGAACTTTGGAGTTTTTAAAAATTCTACCTTAATGCACTGAAATTGAGACGCTAAAGAAAAAAATATCATTTTGGAAGACTAAGCCAAGATTCTAAAGCACTACTGACAGTCTTAACCTCTCTGCAGTTGTGGACAGCGGACGGAACTGGTTTGGGGTTCTTTTATTCCAGCTCCTTTAGAGAAGTCGTATTGCTGGAGCTCTCCCTTATTTTAACTGGATTTTTTTTTCCTATCCCAATAACTTGATTTTCTTTTTAATTGTAGCATCTTCTCAAAGATGTCCCAAGTAACACCTTTACCTCATCTTAATTCTCCTGTTTCCTTTGGTCTCAAAGCTGGGATGGCTGGTTTGCTTTTTTAAGCTTCTTTCAAAGTTTAAGGTGGTGGGATCATTGTCTTCAAATACAATCTGATGTGGAACCATGATACATAAAACAGATTAAAACAGAGAACTCTGGCTGAAGCTGTGAGTGGGAAAGGTATGAAGTTCTCTTCTTTACCCATTCTGCTGTGACCTACGAGGCAGTTATGTGGGACCCTTATGCCTCAAGTGACATAGAAAACAACAAACTTTACAGACTAATGTGGTCACAGATACATGTGTGTAAGCCATGACCCCTAAGTCAGCCTGGGAGAGTGGAGCTCAGAAAGGGGCCAAATCTCAGCGGAGGTTTCAGTCTCTTTTTTTAAGTAGTCTTAATAGCAAGATTGCTTCAAAAAAATCTTGCAATTATTGTTTTAATAAAGACCAACCAGTTGCTAAAATGTTCTCCCTCTCTCCTTTATAAAAACAGCACCACTGCTGGTTTTCTCAAGACGGTCACCCTACCACCCCCCCCCTCCGCCCCCCCCCCAGCCAGAGTTGGATAAAAGCTGGGGCATTCACCCAAGGCCTACACCTGGGCATGGCAGCTTATGCCCCTGCTGATTCCTAGCTTCAGGATGCCTCCAGCCACGCCATATGGTTCTGCACCTTCTCACTGGCGGTATTAAGACAGTGTCTTAACAATTACCCACACAGAGATATTTTAAATACTGACGTTACCTTCTTAACACATGGCAGAGTTCAGTATTTAATGTAGCTCAAGAAGTACTCATCTGAGTGGAGTGGGAGAGAAACACTGCTTCTTTCATTTAAAATATATATATATATATATATTTTTAAAGATTGGCACTTGAGCTCACAACTGTTGCCAATCTTTTTTTTTTTTTCTTCTTCTTCTTCTTCTCCCCAAAGCTCCCCAGTACATAGCTGTATATTCTAGTTGTGAGTGCCTCTGGTTGTGGCATGTGGGATGCCACCTCAGCATGCCCTGATGAGCGGTGCCATGTCTGTGCCCAGGATCCAAACCAGTGAAACCCTGGGCCGCCCAAGCAGAGCGCACAAACTTAACCACTCGGCCACAGGGCCAGCCCCTAAAAAATATTGTTTAAGCACTGAGCAAAACACCAAAATCAATCAGATATTCCAAGGGGTTTCCAGCATAATCAGAAAAGCCACATACATAAAGATGAATAGCATCGGATAGAAAAGATTATGCTGACTCAACTGGATAGTAATCCCACTTGACAGCTATTTTTTAAGAGTAAATGAAATATATTCTTACTGTTTCAGAGTCTCTGAGGAATCATAACGTCCATCAAAATCAGAGTCAAAGACGGGACCGCTGACAACATTGACGCCATTTCTTTCTTGGGCGTACCTTTGCAGTAGGGTGCCATGAAAGTAGTGCCAGATAACTGGAAGAAGGAAGAAGCATAGTCTCAGAAGAACAGGCGCCATGCCATCACGTGAAATAAATCAACATCGTGACTCAAAATGAGCACTGGTAATAATTAGAGATAAACTCGAGTTTGGCTTTAGTCTTAGCCTGAGGCCAAAAATCCATTGTTCGGCTTTGGCCTTTAGAAGGACTAACAGGCAGATGTTGATTTCACCTCTGTTTCAGGCATCCCTGAGCATGTGCATCGTCATGAATTTGTAATCCCGTATCTTCATGAAGCATAAAAACATCATGAACACAAACGAGGCAGGTTATTCAGATGCACTGTTAATATCTGAATATTTCCTTTGAAATATTCACAAGTATTCTAGATAAAAAGTAGAGTAAAAATCTCCTTGTAGGCTCTATATTTTGAAATTCTATATGTCACTTGAAATGTAAATGTATATTTATTCTTGTGGGAACCAAAGACTACAATAATTAAGGATGTAAAATCTATTCATTTTAAGCTCAAAAACAATTATCAAGAACTTCCATATCGTTAAACAGGGAAACAGACTAAAAATTAACATAAGCATTAGTAGACTGCATTAGTTGGATAACTTAGGAAGAACATTACATACTTTTCCCACCAAAAATGTTTATAAACATTTAAATACAAAGCAGAATAAGAGATATTGGAATAGATCATAATTCTAATCCTTGCAGAATTTTTTGTGTGCTGGTATGCTCAAAGTAAAACAAATCTATAAGAATGTATTTAATATTTAGTCATTTAATTTATAGGATCAATCTTATTACATACAAGTTATACTGATAATTTACAGAAATTCATTAAAATTACAAGATACAGGGTCAAAATTTTTTACCTTGGAAACTCTGGTACATTGGCACTATATTAGTAGTAAGCAATGCTTCAGAATTTATTTTACTTGAACCTTTATTTAGTTCTACAAAGAAAATAAAAAGAACAACTATTTCATTCTTCACAAATAACATTAGAAATTATACTTTCTCATGAGGGGCATTTTAAAAAACTTAGCTGAGTATCGTCTTAAAGCTGTAAAACTTCCCCAGGTACCGGGTCAAGTGAAAATGCAATGTGTTTGCTCAAGTCCCTCAAATCAAAATAAAATATGTAGTCTTTTATTCTTTAAGATGAATTTATCAAAGACACAAAAATTTTAATAAGAAAGGGCCCAAATTAAATATATTCAAATTTTACCTTATTTGCCTTATATCAACTACAGTGTATTTTGTTGACAATCTTCTTTCCTTAAACGCTTTCACAGTGAAAAGAAAAAAAGAGAATATCTGGCTTGAGAACAACCCCTACTACCCAGAAAAAACATCATGGGATGTTCGCCTCGACATGCTGTACAAGGCTTCTTTGTATGAATTTTCAGCTTGGACCGCATCTATTTTTATAATGCAATAGCCAAGTTCTGACTTCAGACACTTACTCTGGGGACTGGACTAGGATATTTGAGCACCTGGAGACTTCTGATTTTTGCCTTTTAAGGCCAGCCTCAAAATGTCTTCTCACTAACATACACATTTGCCCGTTGAAAAAACAGAACACAGCTTCAAAAAAGCCATTCCCTGGGGGCTGTGCATCAGAACCCCTAAAAGGCAAGCACATTTAGTCTCTACCTTTACCTAATTCTTCAGCAAATTACATTTTTCTTTTTAAACCCCAAAATGATATCACCTCCTAAGAACCCTGTTGCATCCTTCTGCCCTCCCTGAGTTTTCTCAAATTCTGTTTAAACTGTTAAACTGTTAAAACTTTCCCTGATAGTTATATTTCTCCTTTACAATTTTCAGCAATAAATAAATAAGGCAATGTGTATTGCCCCGTAAGAAAGAAAAGGAAAAGGAGGACAGAAAGAGGGAAAGGAAAGGTCAGGGAGGAAGAAACTTACGTGGCGGGGAGAGGAACCCATAGCTTAGTTTAGCATTATTTTTATAAAATGAACATTCATGGACAGGACTAAGAGAAACTCGAAGATCCTGGTAAAGACAGTTGGAAAAGTCTTCTGTAGAGAAGATGTCCTGAAGAACAAAATGGTTAAGAAACCGTCAGGCATCAGGCATACAGAAGAGGAGACTGCCTGTGAATAGGGAAAGGCGAACCATGCCATAAATTGACAGAGCGCTGGCCGTCTGTTCACGGCCTGCACCATTTTCCATTTTTCTAGTGGTGTATTCATCTTTTTTCTAACTGAACTGCAAAAACTCTTTACGATATTAAGGACATTAACCAGTTGCCATATATGTGCAAACATTCTCCACCAACGTCACGCTGATTTTGTTTAGAACGTTCTTGTTTACTCAATTTCAAACTTTTAGCAGCTGCTGTATCAGTAAGTTGCTGTATTTTTAGAGATCTGAGTCTATCTTCCACATTCAACTACACTGGCTAAAGTTGGGGGGGAAAAAGCCACTGAATAACAACGAATATGAAAACCTCAGGAATAGTGACGACTCAATTTATGCAGCTTTGATTACATAGGAAAACTGAAAATTCAAACAGAATCAAAGAACACTAGAATTAAGGTATTACATAACCATAAATAGGATAAGGACCCACGAAACATTGTGCAGACAGCTGTATATTACAAAGTCAAGGAAAAAGTGTTTAAAGTGCTTGGAGACAGTCTTCAAAAATTTTAAAAAATCAAGTTCAAGGTAGAAACTTTATGTAAATATGTGAATGTGTGTGTACAAGAGATATATATATATATATATACATATATATATATATTTTAAACACAGAAATTACATATATACACACATATCCCTATCTTTTTATTTACCTATCTCAGTGAGTATTAATAAAAGCTTTATTTTTTAAATCCAACTCAACTAAGCTCTCTCAAATCCCCTTTCCATCTCCCAAGGGCATCCAGTAGCTTGCCAGATACTTTCAGTTTCTGAAAATCTGGTCAGTCTAGTTTAAAATCTCAATTCCAGGCGAGATGCAAATCTCATCTCCTCCCCTCATTCTCTCCTTCCAGGCCTATTTCCTTCACCATTCCTCTTTCCACCACAGCACGAGTGGGTGGGGGTGGGGGTGGTGGTCTTGTCCCGGGATGTTTTCCCCACTCCTTTCAAGGCTTAACTCCCCTGCTCTGGGTAGTGAACAGGATCCTGAGCCTCTCCCTGGTTTTGTCTCAGGTGCCTTCCCGTAGACGGTATATACAGTGGGGTTACTGAGTTTTAAGGGCCTTCTTTCTCCATCAGTGAGGACCCCCAAAGAACTGGGCACCTGAGGGAAGTTCTTGTGCTCACACAGCTATGTATTTAGAGATGAATAATTGTAACTGATTTAAAACTGATTTCATGAAATTATAAATTGCGATCATAAAATTTTTGTTTTTAAAAAGAAATGAAAGCAAGGGAGAATTCTTTACTGCACTCCCCTCATTTCACAGGATAAGAAACTGCTCTGAGGGGCCAGCCTGGTGGCACAGCAGTTAAGGTCGCATTTCTGCTTTGGCGGCCCAGGGTTCACTGGTTCGGGTCCCAGGTGCAGACCTACGCTTGTCAAGCCATGCTCTGGCAGGCGTCCCACATATAAAATAGAGGAAAATGGGCATGGGGATGTTAGCTCATGGCCAGTCTTCTTCAGCAAAAAGAGGAGGATTGGTGGCAGATGTTACCTCAGGGCTAATCTTTACCCCCCCCCCCGCCCCCCCAAAAAAGAAAAGAAATTGCTCTGAGTCTCAAAGTCACGTAGCTAGTTAGTGGCAGAGCTGGAACTTAATTTTCCTGATTCCTGGTTCAGAGATCTTCTATTTTGGGGACTGATTATAGAGCCAAGATTAACCATGAGAAACTATGCTTTCAATGTTTTGCTTAATGATAATTTGAAAAACTGCCCATAGCTAAAGAGGTACCAAATACTTGCATTTCTGTCGACGGTGTAGGACGTCCAAAGGGGCATTAGGATGTCATGGCTGTAACCACTCACAAACTGGTGTTGGTAAAGAAGACAGACGGTGCTGTTCTTCTGGATAACTCTGGGTCTTCCATAGGGTAGAGTGCCACGCTTAATGATATTCTCTTCGGTTGCATGGGGAAAATGAAACCACCATTTAAACATACTGAGTGTGCCTCATATGATAAAACATATAATGATACATTCAATTCTTTCCTATACTTAACCGTATCAAAAAATTATTTTTAACTGTAAAAAAAATCTCATTACAAAGAGCAGAACAATAAACAATTAAGAAAACAAAAGGGATTCACTGTAGTTTTTGCCTATGAAGATTCCGAAACATCCACGCAATAGCAAGATATCATAAGAAAACACTATATGAAATTGCTAGAAATTTCAGCAATTAGGACTTATGTTACTAAAATTCTTTCAATTATTTTAATTACTTATTTTTCAGGACACACTCCAGAAGGTAAGTTTTCTGAATGATGTATGTGTTTGGAAAGCAAAAGTTCAGAACTGAAATTATGAGACTCAACCGAATGAAACAGCAATAGTATGTACTGTTTATTGTGGTTTTTCCGAGTGTCAAGTGCTCTGTAGAGTTCTTTGTTTATAGCATCTAATTAAATTCTTATAGATCCCTATGAATTAAGGTTACATATCCATTTTACAGATCAGAAAACAGCAGCTTAGAGGAAGTAAATACTTTTTCCGTGGACACACAGATCCTAAGGTCATATCCAAACCCAGATCCATTCAATTTCAAAAGTGTCATTCTTCAGCACAACGCTTTGCTACCTTGGGACCATCAAAGACTCTAATCCAAATGTTTACAGAAATTTTATATAGACAAGTTTAAATCAGGAATAGTGCAGAATTCACTTTTTATTCCAGCAGGAAAATAACTTAAGGATCAGAGACCGTATCCAAGTGATGCTGAACATTCAAGCCACAACTGACCCATTTCATCAGGGATCCAAATCAACTTAATTTTTATTTAAAAGTTATGAAGAAATAACTTTAAATAAATAAATCAATTTATACTAGGTTGTAATTTACTAAGAACCAAATGAGATAGAAATTTAATAGTATTTTAAATGGAAATCTGAGGATTAATTATAAACCTATAAAAACACTTCCGCTATGTTCATAAAAAAGTGATTCAGCTTCCACTACATACATTCCATACTATTTCCACTGCACTTATGTCTTCTTTCCTTATGACTGATAATCTAGACTGTCAAGCAAAGAAACCTCCATGTTTCCGCAGGTGGTCCTCCATTTATCCCTTTATTTTATTGGTTTTTCTCAAACAATGCCTCCAAACCAACTCTCCACGTCTCACACTGTTCAGAAAAAGCCTGCTCCCAAATTCCAAGTTCAAGAGTAAACACTTCTTACCTTCTGCCATGGTCAGATTCAACTGTGTCTGCAAATCCACAATTGGCAAAATCTAAAAAGTTAGTAACACTATTTTTAAGGATTAAAAACAAACGTGTTTTAATTTTATAACAAACAACTTCCATAGCTTAATTATTCCATCATAGAAAAAACATAACATTTTAAATCATCTTGTACAAGTGAAAGTTATTGTTTTGATGAAGAAGATAAAAGGATAGGAACAATGGTTGCAAAAAGACAAAATTGTTAGCATAGCACACTGTTAACTGAAAAACAATATAATTGCTGCTTTATAAATTCTTGTCTCTACTCTTACAGTCTTTCTACAAGCCTAAAACTAAATGGAAAGCATCAAATCAGCTACTCCCCAAATTTCTATCTTTATGGATGCTATCAATTTTGTTTATTCCTTGTCACATATTTTTATCTTCTTACAGCTATATATTAAGATAGGAGTAAAAAAGGAACAGTGCCATATATCCATTTCATACCAAAAGAAGATGTTTTCCCTCTAAATGTAAAATAGGTTGGGATGTATTCCTTAGAAGGAATATTGTGATTGGTCCATAATCAAGACCTCACTGCTAGGATATCACACAGACTCTAGGATTCTGGATGCTCAAGGACTCAGCTAGACTTCTTCCAACCTGCACCCAAGTTAAGTCACAGCACCAAGGGATAAAAATAGAGGTGAAAATGTAAAAACTAGGAAGAAGAAAAAGAAATAATAAAAGGTCTGCATGTGTCACTAGAATTAAAAATAAATGCGTTTACTCACACTCATAAGCTTCAATTTGATCATTAAGTATTCCTACAGCACATGCTATGTAAAGGGTGCTACAGAATCAGACACACACCACGCTGAACTTCTTGGCAATACTTACTGAGGGATTGCACGAGCAGCCAAGGTTATTTCTGGGGGTTCTTGTGAAGGGGCACTGTACCAAGGAGCTGACTTCTTTGGGATGTGTTGGAGTGTAAATGGGATTCTTTAGAAGGTGGTTAAGACTGCCATGAGTTCCATTATTGGAAGCTGGTATCAAATTCAGTAAATCTGCATAATTCCAAGAATGGTAAATAGTTTCAAAATCAAAGAAATAAAAACCATAGTACAAGTCTACCATTTTTTCAAAACCAAATCTATGCAAGTCCTTCACTTTTTACCTAAGATAAAACTATAAAACTTTCCTGGGTTTTAAAGCATTTATGACTAGGCTACTCTTCTTGTAAATATTGATATGTATACTGTACTTTTCCATAAAAATTTCTGATTTTTCATAACCACAGTTCCACCTGTAGAATGCTTATGATATGCCAAGCACTGTGCTAATATGTCTTTCTTACGTAATCCTCAAAACACTTTAGTAAGTTATTGTCAGTATTTGGTGAATGAGTAATCAGAGCGCTTTGCTCAAGGTCTCAGAGCTACCAACGTAGCTGACCCAGGATTTATACCAGCTTTGTCTGAGTCTAAGACTCCTGCTCTTAATAATAACAACAGCAAATGCTTATATAGTAAAGCACTTAGGATATGCCAGGCCCTGTTCTAAGTGCTTTAGGACATACTATCTCATTTAAGCATATAGGCTCCCACCAAAAGAATTCTGCTTCGGACATATTTAAGGTTTTTCAAATGCCCAGTATCATTATTCAAAAAAGGAAGTAATATTTAAAATAGAATACCCAACCATAAAAACTCTATTTGGGAAGGCATAGAGTAAACCAAAAATATATATAATGGGTCCTCCTCCATTTCTACAACCTTGCCATTGCCATCCATTCACTTATTATTGCTACCAGAGGTTCTGCCTGGTTTGTTCACCTTTCACACACACCCCCCCCCCCCACAACC